AAAAAAAAAAAAAAAAAAGAAAAAGAAAGGTTTGAAAGCAGGCAGTTTTGCATATCGTGTATTTATTTCTACTTTTTTTTTTTGGTATAAAAGGCAACTTTCGCGACTGATTGATTCTCGGCAGTAAACTCGCTGCCATCGAATCTAATAATTCCGCAATATTTCCAATTTCCTTGGCTGTCAATTAGGAAAGGAGGAAAAATTCCGCCGATATTGCGAAATGTTCATTCGATTGAGAAACAGTGTCCTATTTGATATTTCATCCGATTTTCAACAAATACGGAAGGTAGAGAGCAGAAAGTTCAACAATAAATCTTAATTAATTTATTAATTCTCAGTAACGAGGGGAAGATCAAATTTTAGATGTTCCTACGACGTTCAGTTAATTAAAATTTCCGATCGATGTTCGAGGTAACAAGCTTAACGATCAAGAAGAGTAATAACGTGGTACGTACATATACAGCACGAAGTAAAAGTTAGACTTCGAGAAAGAATTTTACAAACTTCCACGACGAAAGTGATTGCAGCGTCAGCTGAAAAATTTCTCCAATAAACGGCTCGGTGTTCACGTGGACGTGCGAGCTCTCTCGCGCACGAGCGTGCGAACGCACGCGTATATGTATGTGCACGATTTGGTGCAGTCATCGAGACGTTCGATACTCGTGACGCAATACGGTAGCTTTCCAAGAGAGGGGTGGGTCCACGAAAATCTGAATGGAAGCAGCTAACATGCGAGAACTAGGTCAGGCTTGACTATTACTTGACATATCGCCAGCCAATCAGCTGACGAGGAATAGATTCTTTAGTTAGCGCCGACGCTCTCACGATGTGCATAATAATTCAACGGAGCTCGCCCCCGGAATTTATATTCAACCGGCGACACGCCCCTGCGATAGATACTACCGTTACGGGGGAACTTATGGAATAAAAGTTCACGTTCGATATGCGAATCGTGGAGCTGGAAACTATCAACTTTTCGAGCGGACGTTCTTGAAAATTGTGATTTCGTCCCTTTCGAATGAAAGTTGATCGACGTGAAAATTTCGGACTAATTTGTCAGAATAAATTACTCGTTCCTTTTCATTTGACTGCTTGCCCTGTCAACTGATTGCGGACCATAACGAGTGACCAGGCCGTATATAATACAATAACTCGTCGCTTTCTTTTTGAACTCGTCGGTGTGATATCACTGGATAAAAATTATTGAGAAGTAATGAATTTATTATTTGTTTTGCCTATTTCGTTTTACTTAGATATATATTTAAAACTGTGAAAATATTACGTGGCACGTCATTCCAGAGAATATTCGTAGTACGTTCCGTAGCACTCTTCCCGTTTCTCGTTATCTTAGACGAACGTACCGACAAAGCTAGCGGAAGAAAAGATGAATGAAACCACCTGACGAGTGAAATCGTTTTGGCATATGACCGGCCAATCAGCTGATGATATTAACCGGTCGTTTATCGATCATCCGCAACAGAGCGTGCACCAAGCATGCTCGGCGGACCTGACCTAGGACAAATCCTCTCAGCGCAAACGCGTACAATCTTCCTCTCACACATTGGTGCTTTAATATCGTCCTTTTGTTCAGCCAGCCGTTTTCATTTCAAATATCTCGCGTGCAATGATGCCGTGCGCGCGCGATCGGGTTACGCGCGACAAATCCAGTTTTAAAACTCGAGCGGCAATAGAAAATCGATATTATTCAGAAATACGAAGCTCAAGTGACTGTCGAAGTTATTCGAATATCAACAAGAACTTTATCTGAATCTTCCATACGTACATCAGATTTTGCAGATTAATTTCTTTCTTTCTTTTTTTTTTTTTTTTTTTTGCTGTTTTTGAACAATTTGAATATATATAAATAAACAATAACTCAAAGAAAATTGTCACCTGATTCTTTTGAATTTTCAGCGTGCCGATTTATCCGGAGCCACGATTCAAGAGAGAGTTAGACATCGATCCGCAGGACGTTCTAACTCTCCTCTCTCTCTGGGAAAACGAACGCCACAAACGGTAATAACGATCACGCGTTAACGTGCCGTTAATTGCAGACAGTCGATGAATATTCAGAGTCTTAATTCAGTTTGAATATTTCCTCGTAGGAACTGGCATAAATACATAAACGACGAATATGAAAATGTCGACGACGAGGAAAACCTTCTCGAGGAAGAAGATCCTCGAAACAGTAAGTCAAAAAAAGAAAATTTCCTAATTAAATACATTGACGTTGCTTTTGATACAATGCCGCAAATTTTCACTTTGCACAGTTATTCCGTGGATAGACTCATCGGTGTATCCGCCTCGACATTACAACATAGATGCTCTGTCGCCGTCAGATATTGGAATCGTTCGCACTCATCCATCCGGCTATTACGAACAATACGAGAATCAGTATGGGCAACAATACGACACGACTTCTCAATACAGTGGCCCTCAATACGGTCTGGTTTATCCTCAACAGACTTACTACAACACCCCCGAGAAAAGGTTCATGATCTCTAAGAAACGCTCGCAGGTAATTCATTCGACCGAGTCCTGAAATTTAACCACTTGCGCTGGCAACTGATTGCGGACCGTAACGAGTGACCAAACCGTATACAATAATAATTCGTTGCTTTCTTTTTGAACTCGTCAGTGTGATATGAAATTATTGAAAAGTAGTAAATTTATTATTTGTTTTGCCGGGGTTATACTTAAATATACTTAAAACTGTGAAAATATTGGAATATTGGGACAAAAAATTCTCGACGTGCACGTCGTTCCAGCGCAAGAGGACTAAATTTGTCAATTTAACGTCTAGTGAGTTGCGAATAACGTTGAAAAATCTTGAGGATGTTTATTTAACTTGTTTGCAGACGTACGATCCTTACTCCAGCGCGGCTCAGTTCCAAATAAGCTCGCAATCGCGCGGATATCCTTACCAACACCGTGTCGTCTATTAAATCGATGCCAATCGACACCGGTGGACAGCAACAAAATTAACAGGAAATTGTCGAGAACGTATTTGATGGAAGCCGAAGCGAATAACGCGGGAAAGAGGATAGCAAACTGACGTTTTCGGACTCACGTATACGCAAAGGGAAATCAATGAAGAAATTTTTGCGCTTTCTTGGCGAACGTTCCCTCTCCGACGTCTCCTTTATTTGGCTATTCTGTCTTTGTTGTTTAACACAACACGCTACGCGCTCGAGAAACGAACTAAGTAGTCGTTAAAGACTACCAACTAGTCTTAAAGACTACTTTAAGAAACACGGTGCTCAGAAAGACTATTCATAATCTTGCTGAAGAGACAATAGCCCCTTTGATTAACGTTTTATTCGTTTAGTCAACGACCAGCGAAACGCGTAACAAGAAGAAACTTGTGTAATCTTCTTCTTCTTCTTCTTCTTCTTCTTCTTCTTCTTCTTCTTTTTTTTCAACATCTTTCGAAATCCTTCAAGAGTACGGTAAAGAAGTCAACGAGGTACAGACGCATTTCTGTCTTCTGGCTTCGGTATACTCTTGTACTTTTATGAAACTTTGGAGCTTCTCTCGCGCGCAAGAAAAAAAGTACGTAACTTATTGTTAGAGAGCCTTGGGCGAATCGCGCGACGACTGAAATCGTTGAGAACAATCGTAAGTAGTTACTCGAATCAAATTATCCCCAGGCTTGGTTCGCGACACTTCTGACTGATTAAAAAAAGAGAAAAAGACGACGAATAGCTTTTTTCCACGAGTTAGCACGAAGATAGACGTAGCATACCGTTTGATAGAGATAAACGTAGCAGGAATGAGAAAATGATCGGCGTGAAATGAAAAAAAGTGGAACGATGGTTTTAATTCGGTGGCGTAGAGGAAGGATAGACGATATCTTTAGGAAAATTTAAAGTGAAAGACGATGATGAAGAGATGTAATTTTATAACTTTACCATTCGTTTCGCACTTACGAATATGTACACTCCCAGACAAAATGATAGCACATGCGTGCTATATATATATATATATATATCTTTAATTTCAGAAATAAATTGGAAACGTAGCAAATGGTATGTGAATGTGACGACACAGAGAGAAGGAATCTGTTCGTTCTAGCTACTATTCATAATATGCAGAAGAAACACACACGTAAATACCTTGAGTAAATAAGTAAAGCAAAACAAAAGCAAAATAATCCAAAAAATATCCAAATTTAATAATAAAAGAAATTAACACGCATATACATATTTACTATTGGTCTCTTCATCAAAGAGAATTTTATGTTTTAGCCTAATAATCAATATTTTATAAATAAAAAAAAAATATCAGTTTTCCTTGATCATCTGACATGATCAGAAACTGTTAGAGAGACACATGCTATCTACAAAAATGTGGCAGCATTGAATAAGCGAAGCAATCAAATAAAAAAGAATGAAACAATCTATCTCAGGATAATAAAATCAAAAGTCTCTGTAAGTCCTTACCAAGCCAGGTATTGTTCTTCGATATTTATGCTTCTTTTATATTCTATGGTAACAACAGTCTTTTTTACCAATAGATCCTTTCTCCGTATGTCGTCACATTCATTTAGTATCTGTAAATGTGCTATCATTTTAGTGTATATATTGTTATAAATATATATACCTACACGTGTAATATGTTGACGAAAAATGGACAAAATACCGAAGTTCGATCAAGCTTGTTCACGCAACTATTGTATTGTACTTCATCTATTTAGTTTATTTTGCAAGAGGCAAGAAAGAAATATAATACGCAAAAACGGAAAATCAAAGATACCGAAGCACGATGTATATTGAGTACTGAAAATACCAGTTTGAATCTAACGAATATCGTCGGAATTACAATTAAGGATTACAACAACATATCTTCTATTGGATATATATTGGATTCATACTTTATATTCGACGTGCCGACATGACCGATAATTCTCAACCTCCCTTGCCCTTGTTACTTTAAAATCTGATCGTCAATTAATTTTTCTAGCCGTGTACAAATTGTAACAACCGTGATAACGTTTGTCGACAACGGATGTATTGATGAGTGTCAACGCATATCTCGATGATGTTCACTCCTAAATAACTCTCGGAAATAAAAATTTCACGACTCGATCGCAATCCTCGGCCATTATCGCCGATTAACGCTTGTCACAAGGTGGCGTTAATAGAAACTAAACAATATTGTATTTAATTAAGAATGTGCTATCGTGAAGATACTTGCACGTTCGGCAGAAATTAACAGAAGGCAGAATCGAGAGAACATGCACGAGACTCGTCGGGTGCGTGAAATTTTTCATTCTCATCCTTTGCTGCGAATGTAAAGTGTGAAGCACCGTTATACCGATAATCCATCGTCTTGCCATTGTCAACAAAAATAAAAAAGAGAGAGAGAGAGAGAGAGAGAGAGAGAAACACAGAAAGGAAAAAGAGAAAAAGCACGTAAATGTGTCTAAACAAACTATACCGAATAAAAAACATCCAATGTTCTTCTCGATCGAACCAAACACGGCCTTCCATAGAGCAAATGTTTCGAGGAGACTGAGCAATTTTTTTCTTTTTCGTTCCTTGTCGTTTGATCAGTGCATATGCTTGAATACGCGTATATAATAATATAATGTACGATATTTTAACAGTAGAGAAGGGGAAAATCTAACGGACGACTGACCGATCAATCGGGCCCGCGAGACGATCGGCACGAAGAAAAATCTTTTGTGACTTGATGCTATATATATTTTTGACGATCGTTTAGCGTGTAATTAGAATTACGTAGACTAAGTAAAACAGGAGGGAATGATTCAGTATTTATTACCTATTGACATGTAATTAATGTTATAGATAGTGAAAAAAAAAAATATCAATTATACAATAATTGTGTATAATTAAAGGAATGTCAATCAATCGGGGTTTGGGTTTCATTGATACGCCGTGATGTTTCGCGATCAATCAAAAGTGTTTATGTACTTGCTTTGACGAGGATTTTGTTTGAAAAGTAGGTATCTCCGTACCTGTACTGTGTTTTATAGCTACAGCTTTTCTCCTGTTATTGAAACAAAACGATTATCTCGAAAATATTCTAATTAAACTGTAAAGCTGCAATTGCGAGAGATTTTTCGTAATAAAAGAAAGAGAGAGAGAGAGAGAGAGAGAGAGAGAGAGAGAGAGAAAATAAAGTTAGACTTGTTTAATTTGTAACGTGAAGGGAGGTCTCGTTTTGTTTTTAGAAAGCCTACTGAATCATACAATGTTGCTATATTCTTACTACAAATTAAACTTCAGACTGCATATTTTTTTACAATAATGATAACGAGCTGCAATGGTAACGTTGTCACTAGAATATCAGAGGATTCTTTCTATCGCTAGAGTTCTTACACTGAGCGCGGAACCATTTCACAGCTATCTTTTAAAATCGATGAAAAGATTTTAATATCGGTCGAAGGATCTAGTCAATTGTTACTATACGATATTAAAAATGATAATCATCCTAAAATTTTTCTTACATTTAAGCTATTTTTTAACGCATATTCAGGTCTAACGCGTAGAGAGGAATGGAAACGATATTTTGATGAGAAATTAAGAAAAGAGATCCTGAGATCTACTAAAAACTCCTTGTTATCGATCTTATAGAAATATATTCTAACATTTTGAACTGTAATGTTAACATTTGGAAGAAAAATATATTCATATTTTTGCTTGTGAAAAAGAAATTTATTATAAATTTGGATATCACGATCTATAAAGAAAGATGATAACGATAATACTCGATAAAAATTGTAGCAGCACGTGTGTACGTATCCTGGAAAATATGCCGCGAATATGAAAATTTCTTTCGATGTTAATGATATTCCACCGATTGCTAATCGATTATGCGAATTACTGTAACTGTATAAAACAAAACTGTATCAACTGTGTTATTTTAAAATGGATATTATATCGCATATTATATCGTATAAAATACATCATATAAACATTCAATTATACGTACGTGTGGATTTTTAAATCAAAAGAATTATGTCACTCAGCGTCGTAAGGATTTTTCAAACCCATGGTGCTTTTGATTGAACAATAATGCATTATTGTAATGAAACTAAACTATGAAAGAACAGAACAAAAAAATAAATAACTATATTCTACTTATAAGCATTCATCTTGGAACATCTTTCTCATACGTGCTCTTCCTTTATTTATAATCCTTTCGTGTCCGACATTTCGTATACCTATTTACAATATCGAACTTTAATAAACTACAAATTTGACTAATTAAATAAATAAATATATTGCAGTTGAAAATTTTTTTAATGCATTATGCCTTCTTTACAAAAGCATCATGCCCCTAATAATTTTCTATTATCTGCGAATCGAAAGTTTGGTCCTCAAAAATTTACCAACGACATAATAACAATGCAACATGCAACAAGTTGTAACTAGAGATAGAACACATTACATTGCTTGATACAATTGTAATCGTTTAAAATATTGTACCGATATGTTGAATCGATAATAGTAACGCTTTCAAGTTTTTGAGCAAAAAAAAAAAAAAAATACATTGAATATTGAATGTATCTTGTGTTTTGTTCGCGTTGCTGTTAACCTTCAAATTATTTTGAGCATCGTTAAATAAAAATTATAATAAATGAATAAGAAACGTCGCATCTTAATAATCGATCCCGCAAACTCGCCAAAATCGATACAGAGTAATCCTGATTGGAGATTATTGCTAGCTTGCAGCTTTCGCCACGTGCCTATGGCAAGAGAAGCCCTCTCTCAAGTATAAAAATATTCTTCAACACCGATTTTGATTAATAGAAATTAATTAGTATCTAATACGAATTTTATAGACGTTTTTATTTAGGGCGCGAACGTCAATTGTAGAAGATTTGATTATTTAACTCCTCTGCATATTGCGGTTCAACATAATGATACTGAACTTATTCAATTGCTTTGCAATCAGCCATCTATCAACACTGAAGCAAGAGTTATTGATGGTTTGTTAAATCGAATTAACGCCTTGTACAAAAAAGCAAGATCGTAGAAATCTTTCTACCTTCTCTTTTTTTTAATTTGCGCCATGTTGTAATAAATACACTCCTAATTTTATTCAAATTCATATTTTTAAGAACATTTTTTTTTAATTAAAAAAAACACTGTATTTTGGATATTTTACATATTTTTCCGCACTGTGTGCATTTTGTGAAATTTTGCGCTTTAAAATTTTATATAAATGCAGAAAAGACCGTAGACTACGGATTTTTATGCATTCATAGGAAATGTTAGTATGCAGAAATATAATATAAAATAAGGACAGAGAGATTGTTATAACATTCAGCAGCAGAGTTTTTTTTCTTTAATTAAAATATTTTTTATTCAATGAATTTAAATATATCTTTAATTCTTTAATTATAAATTAAGATAAAATTAGAGTAATTGTTTTTCTTTAATTATATTTCATTTCGTGAAAATATGAAATTGCATAAAGATCTAGACATTGACATATAATCGATCATGAAGAATTACACACTTATATATTCCTATTACATAGGATTAACACCTCTTCATAAAGCTACATTCCTCGGACATAAAAATGCAATTGAAGAGTTACTTAAAAACAATGTCGTGATTAACTGCATAGACAATTTAGGCAGATATCCTTTGCATTATGCAGCTCTTCACAAGGATACGGAAAGTGCCTCCTTGTTATTAAAAAATGGCGCAAATGTAAATGTTTACGATGATTTTCACGAAAGCCCTTTATACACCAGCGTCATACGAAGACCTTTTCTTCCTATGATTGATTTACTACTATCCCACGGGTAAACGTGTAGAATCGATTTGAAAGGATTTGCATCGTTCAATTAATAAAATTTTAATAAAACTTTCTCGCAGCGCTACTGTCACATCCGGACCAAATCAGATTTCATTGTGTCTACTTCTCGAAGCTACCTTGTCTGCACGGAGCGCATCGGACATAGAAATACTTGATCTTTTGTTTCGAAAAGGTGCAGATGTAAATACAACGGATCTTATCGGTTTACGCACGCCATTGCACATAGCAGCTATGACAGGAAATTCGGAAGTGATTGTGTAAGTAAATGTGAAATTAAATAAATACTTGCTGAATTAAATTCTAAGTGTTGGAACTACAGTTACCTCATTGTGAAAGGAGCAGATTTAAATGGGAAAACTAGAGCCGGACATACGCCGATGGATATAGCTTTAATGTATCGCAATTTCGAAGCTGCACAATTAATAGATTTACTTTCGAAAGAAGTAAAAATACATAGGACATCGAGTATAATTAATTTTGATTAGATATATCTGCGAATGATGATTTTCGCGATATTGGCCTATTAATATGATCGGGAAATATTAAAAATAAAACGAGCTTTGCAAGGAATTGAGAATAAAATAAATTTTTTTAATCAATTGTATTAGCCTTGTCTAATTTGAAACGAATGAAGAAACTACTTGCAAAGGGGGGATTCGTTTCGGCATACTAAACTTTACAACTTTACTAAAAAGTAAAAATTGTGGTGCGACCAGAACAAACAAATTCGTTATCATTCAAAAATACATATTTTCGTGCACCCAAAAATTTCAAGCTCGTCAGAATGGTATCTCGGACTCAATCCCGGTATCTTTCTGATACACCCATAAATACATAATATAAAATGGAATAATTTTAAATACTAATCTCGTGTTTTGGAATCTGGAGATACTACTTGACAACACCGTAACGGACTTCACATTTTACTTAATTATTTTACTTGTATCATTTTACCTGATATAGTTTTCCAATTCACTGTTGTTTCAATCACATACTTCATTTGTGTTTAAGCGTAAAGTGCGCTAAAAAATTAGTGATTCTTTTCTAGTCGGTCTTTTAAGCTCCTATTTCATGTCCGGTCTATTTTCTATCTTTAGTCAATGATGATGCAAAATAGAAGTAACATCCAATGTATTTTTTGTATCACATGTTTGGGGATGGGGTCTAAACTTCCCTTACTATTTCCATGTCACATTCTACTGTACCGATTTAGGCAGGTTTTGCACTGCAGCGCTACTAGTAATAGGAATTAAAATCGGAAAATATGGCCAATGTTGGCATTGTCTGTGATATCTATTGTGTTCTTAGTTAATGGTAAGAAATCAAATGTGTAATGAGACAAGATGTTAATAAAACTATCACTTAGCGTCTTATTTAGTTTATGGAAAAGTAGATTACGGTGATATTTTAAATGTGTAATGTTATTACAGGTATTTTGTAAAATTGAGTTGAAGGAAATCACGAAAACATTAAACATATTGTAGACTGAACATGTGATTTATTGTTATGTGCTTGTTGTACATTTTATAATAGCACTGAGTTGTTTAGATTGTAGTACACAGTGTAAACATACATTAGTTAACCAAAGCTAACTTTAACAATCGTACATGCTCTCTGCCAGGGCTTATTAATTGTAGTGAAGGTGCCATGAAATAAATTAAAGGATGATGATGGGCGATCAGTTTCGTAGCAAAGTGGAGCAATATTCACCAAAGTCATCACCCAGGGGTGCACGATCCCCTGTTGTTTCGCGTCAAGATTCAACAGGGACTCTTAAAACAACCATTTCCCTGGGTAAAAATCCTTCCATTGTCCATAGTGGTCCATTTTACTTAATGAAGGAACCCCCAGGTATCAATATTTTGTACTATTATGTTATATCATATTGTTGTAATCCATAATTATAAAATATATGTATAATTTGCCATTGAAATTGTTTAGGAGAAAGTGAACTCACTGGGGCAACAAACTTAATGACCTATTATGGACTAGAACATTCTTATAGCAAATTCAGTGGGAAAAAATTAAAAGAACAACTTTCATCATTTCTACCAAACTTACCTGGAATCATAGATAGACCTGGACATTTGGATAATAGGTATATTAATGTAATTTTTTGTATATCATATGATTAATATACTTGACATATCCTAGTATCATTATTGCAACTTCATATTTCAGTTCACTAAGGTCTGTAATTGAAAAACCTCCAATAGGAGGAAAAGACTTAATACCACTAACCAGTGTTCAATTAGCTGGTTTTCGTCTACATCCTGGTCCTGTAAGTAAATGTGATTATAATAAAGACATTTATTAATCAAAGTATACAAGAACAAAAAGCATTTATGTATTTTTTAGTTGCCTGAGCAATATCGTTATGTTAACCAAGCTCCACAAAGGAAGCACAAAAACAAACATAAAAAGCATAAGCATAAACCTGGAGAAGTACCTAGTGGTCAAGAGGCAACAACTACGGACATTGGTGGTTCAGATACCCACGAGAAAAAGCATAAAAAGCAAAAACGACACGATGAAGAGAAAGAGGCTAGGAAAAAGCGTAAGAAAGAGAAAAAAAGAAAAAAACAGAAACACAGCCCCGAATATAGTGGTGGTTTAACACCATCTCAACATTCCAATTCGTGATCTTCAATTTCACCTTTTCTATTTATATCTAACTTTTGATTTAACATCACAATTTTTATTGCAAATACTAAATTTATCTTTTTCGTTAAGTTAGTTTATCTGAGATCGCTTAATGAATTTCATTAGAATTATCTGTATACATATCTTTTCTTTAGAAAGAATTTTACAATCTTAAATTCGAAAGAAGAATGCCGAAAGTTTGAATATCAAAAATTACATGTGATTTTTGATAGTGAAACTTTCGGCATTCTTCTTTCGAATTTAAGATTGTAAAAGTCTTCTTTTTTTTTTTTTTTATAAGATTGTATACTATTACCATGTATTATAGAACCAATGATGTGTAGGAATGTATTTATATTTACAAATACAGGTATATGTATAATTTGTATTTGCACATGTATCATAACATATTCGACTCATTGAGACAGTTTCTTCTCGCAAGTAATTCTTTGTAATTTCAACAATAGTTGTTTTGATACGAAAACCACGAACTTTTCTAGATAGGAATGAATTTAGTTTATTAATAAATTATAAGATATAAATATGGATGAATCAGTAGTATGAAAACACAGTGTATTACTGTTGATGTAAATATATATATATTGAAAAAACAAAACGGTAGGAAATTATAGAATATCACTGTATTGAAAATGTTTTTTATGACAATTATGAAAATACAATGTTTACGAACAAAACTGAAATTGTGCATTGTATTGAGAATTTAAAATACATGTAGTATTATGATAAAATTAATAAAAAAAATTGTGAAATATAAAGGTTTCCTTTGTACTTTCTCTTCCTCACCAAATTCCCTAAGAAATGTATCGAAAGTATTTTTTAATCGGGAGATGTCTGATTAAAAACTTAATTTTGGAAATATCGTTTTAACAATGAAATATTTACTAAACAATTGTTTCAAATTTGAATTTATAGACATTACTACGTAGTCAACTGACTATTTAAAATTCTCGCAGCTAACAGTGCCATCTATTACAGAAGACTTCCGGCTTGTATAGTCAATATCCGGTGGTGATATACTAAGTTCTATCGTTGAACGTAGACTGTTCGGGTCGTTGTTGAAAAATCGCTTCATTCCCGCCATTACGTACCGAGTGGGAATTTGATTACCGAAGGAAGGCACGATGACGGACAACCGTAAGTAGAAAAATTTCGAATTTTCACGTTGAAATCTACAATTTACTTTATAATAGAAAAAAATTGATCCTTTTATTACTCCGAAAAGAATTTCTTAAATAACGCGTGTAGCGCTATAATTCGTATTGCCACGTTTGAAGTTTCTTCTGCCAATTTAATCTAACTTATAATGCATTATCAAAGCCAAATTAATCAATGATTGTACATAATTACATAAAAGGATGGACCAGAATGGAAATTTTAGTGATGTTCTCTGTTTCTCTACATCTTCACGTAAATTTATTGATCGGCATTCCAAGCGTCTCGGCCTACTTTTTTTACTCCATTTTGTACAATTTGATATGTAAATGCTACTCCTATAATTAGTATTCGTGTAATTTTTGGAACATTTCGTCACAATGTGCACTATCCTGCATATTTTTTTTTAATGTGTAGTTATTCTGTAATTGATAATACTAAATCCCCATTACAATTGCGATTGAAGAGTGCTTAATTATATCTTGAAGTCGAGAAAATACAAACTACGAATGTTTCAAAACACGCCTTTATAAGAAAAGGTGTCAAATAGAAATAAATTTCAAAAATATAATTTTCATTTAAGACATCACTTAACATCACAGTATAATAATTAAAATTTTATGCTGAATTCTATAATAATGGTTAATGCGTTTTTACATATGTTTTAGAGTATTCAAATTACCAACAACAGGGGTATAATCAGTATAATCAGCCACCACCTTCTGGTGGTCAAGATACTTCATACCCACCACCATCCAGTGGTGGTAGTGGTGGTTACAATCAATATAGTCAACCACCACCAAGTAGCGGAAGCAATTATGGCAGTTACAACAGTTACAATTCCAGTAGTGGCCAAGACTACAATCCATCACAAAGTCAAAGCAGTTACCAGACTTATGGTAGTGGAGGTTCTGGAAATAGTGGTGGCAGCAGCAATTATAATAGCAGTTATGGTCATGGAGGTGGAGGTGGAGGCAGTGGAGGCTACAGCCGTAATAGTTCTGGTGGAGGCTATGGTGGAGGTATTTTAAATATTACAATTTAGATAAAGTATAAATTTTTACTTTCAAGATATAACATATACATGTATGTACCTAGGTCAAGGAGGAGGCGGTGGCAGTAGATATGGAGATCGTGGGGGATACAGTGACCGCTCTGGCGGTAGTTACAAGTAAGTTTATTGTTTGTACTATTTATACATATATATATATATACATATGCGTATGCATATACGTATATAATAAAGCGAAAAAAACCATAAGGTCAATAAAAAAAAGTTGAATCATATATCAACAATATTAATCAGTGGAGAGGTAAATACATTCATGAAGTAAACAAGGTATGAAATGAAATTCTTATGACAATAATGAAATTGAATTGTTGTCTCTTTACAAATGGCTTTATGCCCATTGGGCGTTAATATGTTTGAAGTGTGCCTACAGGTTTAACACAGGTATAACTGGTAAAGGTAAAAAACAGGTTGTATATGACAAATGACGTAATGTGGTTGTAATGTGTGGTACATATTGATTTTATATCATTACAGTAAGTGATGACACAATGTGTATACATAATGGTTTTGTATTGATTATACCTGTAAAGCAGTTTAAACTGCCACTGGGGCCACTGTTGTCTGAATAGGGTTATTGAAATCGACTAGACAATTGAAAGACGTTTAAAGTTCCTTTTAACAGATCGCAGTTTATACTATAATAGAAATAGTATTATTATATAAGTTGGAGTTTTATTGAATATATCAGTGTTTCTTTAATACATTTTGTCTATACTTCGTAGTAGGATATTAATGTTGTACTAACATTACAGTTGTTTATCCAAAATAATTCATAATTTTTTATTCCAACTTTTACTCTACTGGTTTTATTATATATATGCTTCAAATGTTAATGAATATTTAGTAATCCTTTATCAATAAATTCTCAGATAGAAGATTCATGTACATTCGACGTAAATAGGATAATCTCTTGCACAGGATTGTCTTGACCAATTTATTTCTCTCAAAGTTATTAATAGTAGCTATGCAGAGAAAAAATATGATTTTTGCATGCTGGACGTAACGGACTAACATGACGGTACACAGGACTTATATTTAGTATTAAGTAATATAGTGACCACAGACATTTAGACAGTAGGTACATCAAGAAGAGAGGTGGCGAGCAGCATTTGATTCGCCATGCATCGATCGATCGATCAGTCTGTCCATGAGTCAACTCATTGGTATATCTGCTTCTGTGTTTTAGCAGTGGCGGTGGCCGTGGTGGTTATAACAAAGGTAAATGCACCAGACTGTCTGTACTAGTCTGGTGCTATTCAAGCTTTCACTCTAATATTTAAAATTTAAATACTCGGTTACTCGTATTATATGAAAGGGCTGCTATACAACATTGTTAGGGATTCAGTTTTCTCTGCCAGAATTTAGCAGTGTAGCTTTAAAAAATACTGTAGCTATAAAACATGACAATGTTACTGCAGCATGATAAAGGCTGCTCTGATCACCAATTGCTTTTTCCAGTGAAAATAAATTTTTATGGGATTAATTTTTTATGCGTTTCTATATATTATATATAAAATTGAATAACTAAGATCACAAAAATTTGAAGTTTATTAAATATTAATTTGAGGTGCAAATGCGCTATGCGCTTTGAACATTAAATCTCGTTTAATTATGTATGAAAATGAACAAGTGTATATATAAGTTGTTATATAAAGAAAAATTTATCTTCAATCAGTATTTGTGCTGCTCATGCTCCATCTATTTTAATATTTTAAAACATCCCCGGATAATAAGCATATATAAAAGGCAGCTGGTGAATTGGGTAAATCCCCAAAAATACAATATAGGGAAATGGTAAGAATAAAAATAATGTTGCAGCCCTTTTGTATGTTAAGCTGCAACCTTGTGTTCTCTACATATTGTTATATGCTACTAAGAATTTTAGGCCAATGAGTACTAATATTTTTGTTACTGCACGGGTCAAAGAGAAAAAAAATACCTTTGAATTGATAACTTTATACTCAAGGTATTGAAGATAGGTATATGTAATAATAGTGGTATAATAAATGAACAAATTAAGAAAGCTCAAGTGTTATTAAGAAAGACATATCACTCATAGGCAAGAAAAAGATTTGTGTATTCTGAAACGAAAACTAATGTCAAAGTAATTGTATGTTTTTCAACATACGTAAATTACAAAATTCCTGGTATATAATGCAACAAAAGAAGTTTCTTTTCACTCGGAAACACATTATTTGTGGGTAATGGTTATTAAACAAAATAAGAGTTGTTATATTTTCACTGCTAGAATAAGTTATAATTTCTAAATATATTGGTAATGCTTCAAGAAGAAAGAGCAACAAAATATTTTTGCTTGAAACAATAGTACTTAAGTTTACTTATTATTTTAAAACGATCTTAAAGATAAAATGTGCATACATTGGGGAGAGATATTTGTAAGGGACTTAATTGTAATACAAAAAAATTATAATAGATTAAAGTTCCATATGGTTTGCAAAATTTCATTCCTCCAATGTCTACTGTGTTATTAGCTGTTTTTAACCCGATACAAAAGTTTTCCACTTGTTAGCTTAGACTTGAGTAGGTTTAGGGACAGTAGATTTGCAAGTATCATTCCTTACCTCAAGGAGTATCATGCTAGGCGAAATGTTAATTTCTATTAAATTGCAGGGGGCTACGGTGACCGTGGTGGTGGCAATGATGGAATGGTTACACAAGAAGATACAATTTTTGTATCTGGTATGGATCCTTCAATTTCGGAAGAAGAAATTTGTCAACACTTTGGAGCCATCGGTATTATCAAAGTAAGTTTAATACCTTACTATGTATATACATATCTTAATACCTTATATGTATATACATATCATGGTAGCAGGTTTACATAGCAGCAAGTTTAATACCTTACTATGTATATACATATCATGGTAGCACACGAAATACATTATATAAACAAATAAATAAATCTAGTATCTTTTAATATAAATAGCATGATAAGCGAACAGGAAAACCTAAAGTATGGATGTACAAAGATAAAAACACTGGCAAATCTAAAGGCGAAGCTACCGTTACTTATGATGATCAGAATGCTGCACGTTCTGCGATAGACTGGTTCGATGGAAAAGAATTCAAAGGACGAACTATAAAAGTACAAATTGCTCAGCACAAAAGCAACTGGCAAGGTAATCGTAGTGGTGGAAGTCGCGGTGGGGGTGGCCGAGGTCGTGGAAGCGGTGGTTTTGGAAGTCGTGGCGGTGGCGGTGACAGAGATGATCATCATCATCGAGGTGGTGGAAGTGATGATCGACGTGATGGAGGTAGCCGTGGAGGAGATTGGAGGTACCATTAAATTTTTTCTCTAACAATACATTTACTGTACTATATAGGTAAGATATTTTATAAATAACTTATTTAATATATTTAAAGATGTCCCAATCCAGAATGTGGCAATACAAATTTCGCATGGAGGGATCAATGTAACCTCTGCAAAAGTTTAAAACCACAAGGTGCTGGTGGTAGCAGTGGTGGTGGAAGAGGAAATCGTGGTGGAGACCGAGGTGGTCGAGGAGGCTTCAGAAGTGATAGAGGTGGTCGAGGTGGTGATAGAGGTGGTCGAGGGGGCTTCCGTGGTGGAGATAGGGGAGGAAGAGGTGGACGAGGTGGTCCGATGAGAGGCGGCGGAGGGTTGGTTTTTATAATTAACTTAACTGTGTTGAATGAAAAATAACGAATTATTAATTTCTTTTTTTTATTTTAGCCGAGGAGATAGAGATAGAGATCGCCAGCGTCCTTATTAAGTACAGTCTGAAAAGTGATGTCACTTGTTGACGTATGTACACAGTTTGTACACAATCTCTTGACGTATGTACATTTGTCGTAAGACAGAAATCATATTACACTCCATTATCATCGATTTGTTTTCTCATACATTTTTTATATTCACAAAAATCGATGCGTGACGTGTAATTTTTGTGTTTTATATACGTATGTAAATGATAAACATATGTGTAAAGTTACATTTTAATAAATAAGACTTTAAACCTATAACACTGACTTCTATATCATTATTTGCATTTACAAATACCATCCTTAGAAATAAAAAAAAAAAAAAGAGAGTAGAAACGCTGGGAAATTTTGTTTATTGAAAGATAAAAATATAGTACAATAAATTTATATCTATTAATAGTATACATGTATATAAATCTAATAGATAATTGAAAAAAAAAATAAAAACTAAGTAATTCGAAATAAATACATTGCGTTTTTATGACCAATGCATTTCTAAAAATTTTCTGATGTAATGATAAGCTGCATTATTTAAATTTATTTTATCATAGTAAATATACGTCTTACATATGAATAGATAGGATGAAGACCTCTAGTTCATGGATTTACTTGAATGGTATGATATTTTACAACTTCCTTTGCTCCCATTTAATCTCTGCGTTTACGTTGATCTTTTGATATTTCCTATAATGAATAAAAATAAGCACATATTAGTAAATTATACCATGCGATAAGGATGATTTACTGTGATGAAATAAATGACACCGATATATATATAAAGTGGAGCAAATAAAATGTTACAAGCTTTCTCTGAAACCATTGTAGATATCGACTTGAAATTGTTTCTTAAATGTTAATAAAAATGAATGAACACTGTTTTTGTTTTATAAATACAAATTCGAAATGTTTACATTCGGAGAAAAGAAGCCAGACAAATGTTTATCCTTAGTATTGGGTTTCAGATAGGACGCCCAAGAGAACAATTTCTGAAGAGATTCACTTCGAATTCATACTTGTAGAAAAAAGATAATGTTCATTCATTTTTATTAACATTTAAGAAATGCAATAAAATATGTTAAGATAATATTTGAAGCAGAATAAATTTCTTTGTTATCTTTTGACCTACATGGAACTCCCTCTGCATAAGATATTATCCACTATAACTTCTTAATTCACAGGACAAAAAAGAAGATCGCTTCAGATAAGAATTGTTAGATTTGATAAGATTTTTATGAATATTGAATATATTATTTCATATATATATCATATAAAATGGGAGTGGCACTCTTTCCATGCCTAAAAACTCATTCCCAAAATATCTTGTACAAAATGTTAATCGCATCATTCAGCACCTTAAAATTTCAAGTTGATATCTATAATGGTCTCGAAGAAAACATTTTGTAACACTTTATCTGCTCTCCGTAATGTGATAATTCTGAATGAAAGGAAAGAGATTACATGTTTAGTTTGAAAAACTGATTACGACTAAGAAGTAATTCTTAGTATGTATATACGTGAAATTTGAGTTACTATATCATTTATGATAAGAATGTGTGTTATATGTATGAATATTTCACATATTAAACATGGTCGAAAAAGATGAAAGTTGTAGAGTCATTAATGTAAAAATAGAGTTAAAATAATTGAAAAAAATCTTGAATTATTATTTCATTTATTACAAGCTATAACTGTATTCTACGATCTATTGATTCTATTCGTAATCCACGTAATATACATTCTTAACATGTAATGCTATGTAACTCAAATCTCATTTTCAGAATTTTTCTTCATTTATAATCAGTACTCTAAATTAAACATTCGATTATTTCACATTCACTTCATCATAGTAGCTCATACTTATCAAACATTTGAAAATTTATATTTCATATATAGAATAATATTTGCATGTATGATGTGGTTTTTACCTTTTGCGTGAGGATTATGAGGAGGTAGCGGAAAATACCAATGAAATCTACAAATAGATCTAAAGAATGTAGAATGAAATCTTTGCTGCCCATGTGGTATTTTTCAATAATCAACTGCGTATCATAAATAACGAAACCGCACATTAAAAACAGTCCAATGTACAAATGGGCTTGGTAGAAGAAAGACCAGCGTAATAATAGATTCACGAATGAAAACAGAACCATAATATTTAGCAAGCTAATTAAGGTACCACCAAGATATAACCAACGTCCTCTTTCAGCCAAAAGAGAGGAAATACTAAATGACACAAATACAACAGTTGTTCCTGAAAAAATAATAATATTATCAAGTACAATTTTTATGATAATCTGATGATCAGAAAACGAATTACCATTATTATCTATTATTCTTAAAGATAAATTTAAATTACAATAACTTACCAACCAATGCAGTTACAATAATACTTGGATTAATACTCATAACCAATTGAAGTAAAGGACCCAAACCAAGTCCGGAAAAGAATGCAAATCCCAAAAGATAACTAAGTCGTAATTTTTGATTTTTCCCGTTGTCTGGTGTACTGATCAAAGCAAACAGCAAACCCAATGTACCAAGAGTTGTTAACAAATTAGCTTGCAACAGCTCTGAGTACATGTGAACATAAACTCCTGCGGTAGCGGATAGCGTTGACATGGACAGACACCCGTAGACATTTTTCAAGTGTTGTCTAACGGGAGGCTCCCTGCAATTATAAATTTTTCTCATGTTTTCTATATATTTTTTTATATATTTTACATTCACAACGAAAATTATCTTGCGATATTGCAACAAGAATAAATTTAACAATATAAATGAAATTTAAGAACAAAGTGAAAGCTAATAAGTATTAAAACTAGTATCAGGAAAGAAGTAAAAACTATTTGTGAAAACAAGTGTAGTTGCAACTTCACGCTCGATGTAACTAGTAACACGTCATACATCATACTATGCTCGCAAATAAAGTTTCACTACATAAAATATTCACATTAATGAAGTTCTCGAATATACATATGTATATGTTCGAAGGCCACGCAACGTACCAGTAACGTAGATAACGAAAAAACGCATATCACGTTAATTGCTTTTATTCAAAGTTGCGTAAAAAAAAAAAGAAAAAAAGATTTTTATGAAACATTTCTTTACAACAATTTCTGATTTGTAACATTAATATACATATAGCTGTATTTCAAAAATCACGAGATAGATACAGCTATGAGAAATCAACAAAGAAGAGAAATAAGAAAGTTAGAACGACGATGATGAAAGTGTCGTTTCAGAGGAAATGCTCGACATTCGGCAAAGGCTGTTAAAGAAACAGTACTCACAGTCTCTTGGTGAAAGAGTTTACAAATGTATTTAATACCGCCGCCATAATTTCGTTCGCTTATACAGATTATATATCGGAATTCAATACAATACGCCAAGCACTATTGTTTTCCAGCTAATGTTCTTGGACAAACTGGGAATGATCATAAACTCTAGAAGTCTCCTTCCCCTTGGACACGTCAGTGATATTTCTGTGCGTAAATTTCGTCGACACTTCCGATTGGTCGACGCCTCTTGAAATTTTACGAAACGTCAGCTTTCAAGCGAGACAATGACGGACGATGAATTCGTTTCACGAGATAAATAAGGAAAGAAGAAAACTTTGGCAAGTCTTAGCGACATCTTTAGGACAAAATTATAATTTTCAGATTTCATTGCTGCTGTATATATGTATATGCATATGTAACATCCATTAGTACCGGCAATATCATTTTGCTATTAATCCCGATGAGATTAACAAAGTAAATTGATACTTTTACATTGAATTAAGATCTATCGACACATCATCGCCTCTTATTAAAAGTACTCTAGAATCGAAAGAAATGACAATAAACGATGCAATTTTCATTTCGCCAGCCATATTGTTTCAAAACGAACACATGTAGATGAAGTATTTATACTTTGTATAATTTCAAATCATGAGAGAGATGTTAGCAAATCAAACTAGTTCAGGATACGGTAATTCTTTCGTTAACAATAATGGAGATACCAACAGCAACAGTACAAACGACAACAACGCGAGAAGATACGCTATAATTAGTACGGACTGGATATCTGCAATTGGAGAAGAACTGGGAATGCATCCTTTACCAGACTCTTTGTTAAAAAGACTTGCTGAGGATGCCTCATATCGACTCAGAGAAGTTCTACATGTACATACGTTATTATATCTGGGATTCTTTATTAAATTACTCTGAAGATATATATATATATATATTTAATGTAACAATAGGTCTAAGTGAAGTCAATTTTCAGAAATGCGTGACAAGATTAAAACACAGCAAACGGAAACGTTTGACATCTACAGATGTAAATGCTGTGATTACTAATTTATGTGATATTGATCCAATATTAGGTGCACCAGAATCTATGCCTGAATATCACACAGAAGCAAAGGTCTTCGTTCCTAATGAACGTATTGTTAATCTAGTACAAAAAATTAATGAGCCAGTTAATATATTACAGAGTAGCGTACCATTTATTCAAGGTATACTTTTACTACTTCTATTAATTTATAACTTGTACTAACACTGTTTGCTGTACTAATTTACTATTCTATGTTTTATAGAATCAGAAATATGTGATATAAGGCTTACAGAAGCAAGAAATAATTATGCAAAACGTGCATTAAAAACATTATTCAACGGGTCACAAAAAACATTTCAGGTATGGTAAATTTAATTTATATAATTCTTGTAAATATGTATATAAATTATATTGTAAATATATATGTTTTTCATAAATAACATATATAATTTATAGGTTTTAATTAATGATTGTGCTACTAATCCTCATTTAAGTGGAGAGGGAGCAATAGATAAATTAATGTCTATTGCTAGATCTATGATAATTTCGAATAATATACAATATACAAGAGTATCAACTCGAACATGTCAACTTATTATTGCAATCGCAAGCAACAGTGAGGCTGTTTATCCATACCATTTAACTTCGGTAATATTTTGTAATGAGATTATGTGAATTGTGCTAATTGATTTATAAAATAATATTTTGAGACCTTCAATATATATATATTTTTTTATTACAGGTTGATAAACTCACTGAATTACTATTGGAATTACTTTTAGGACAGAATTTCATAAATCCAAATCTTGAAGCACTCTTTAAGGAATGTGCACTAAAATTAATGCTTCGTTGGCCATCTGTTGCTGATAGGTAAATAAACTATTATATATTTAGATGTTATTCAACAGTGATAGAATTATTATAAAATTGATTTTTATTGTCAAAAGATATATCTCCACATTGGAGAACGTGCTCTTAAAGGAAGAAAAAATAAATATAAATGGTAATAAGAAAAGCATAATGGCTATGGAGTTACTAGCTAGTATTCAACCTTTAATACTTTTCCAACAGAAGATAGATTCTCCACTTTCTGTACATAATATTTTAAAATTTGCACTACCTGGTTCCGTCTTATGGCAAAAAATAGCTGTAAGTTAATTTTGAAATGTATTTTTTACATTTACATTTTCAGTACTAATACACTTTTTAATTGTAGCTTAGTATTTGTGCTCTTATAAGGTCACAAGCTTATATCTTAGATATTGAACCTTTTATAGAACATTATGGAGATTCTTTATTACCATATTTACCATTTAATTATAAGAGCACGGTAAATGTGCACAAAAAACCTATTTCTCTTCCTATTACTATCAAAAGTAAGATAAAATACGTTGAAGTTAAGTCTGTAAGAAAACAAACAGCATTCACCGATTCTACACTACGAGGTCCACGGCGAGAAATAAGGTATATAATTTTATTACATCTAAGGATTAAATGGAATATTTTTGTATATATCTTTCTAATTGTAATACAATTTTAGATTTGCGTTCGCTGGTGGACGGCCGGTACCTCCTAGTAATTTAAGACGAATTACTTTGAGAGCGAATTATCAAATATTAAGAAGCGAAGTAAAAGCTAAGTTTGCTTCAGTGGCATCACGAAGGCTATTAGTACTTAGAGATAAAAGAAGACCTTATGATACTTATAATCTGGTATATAGTTATTTATAATAATTAACTAATTAATATTAATTTATAATTAATTATTAAGACTTAATAATTTTATGGATGATTTTTGACATAGACAAAAATTATTTTTTAAAAGGATTTCATTTGGTTTTCGAAATACATATAAACATTGTATCATTTTCTCGTTAAAGCGAAAAAAGATTTTGTATTTGTATATAAAATGTAAGATTTGTTATTTATAACTTTACTTATAGTAGTATTTTTATAACAGTGTCTTCAGTATATTGTTAAAAGCTATAATAGGATATATTTATTAAAGTAACAATAAGAAAGACTGAAGCAATGACTTATCTCAGGAAAACTGATTGTATTGTATTAAAGACAGTCTTGTAATCCTTGCGGTAATACACTACGTGGCAATACATACGACTTTGTCATACATGTAGTCCGAGTATGCATTCTTATCGGTATCTGAAATAAATATTTCATTTACACATTAGTATCATTTTAGTAATATTAGTATCATTTTTTAATATTATTTCAATTTTAATACTTACTGCAGCAAGCCATCGTCGACTTAAAATTCTATTTTTGTAAAAAAATAAAGAAGAATCCATTTCAATGGCAACAACTTTGTCCTAAAAGAATTAATTTTTTATACATTAAAATAATATTTAGATAGCAAACAAAAATACCAACTCTATCTCCCTATATATATTTTTTCTTTTATTGATGTTTTTTACAGAATTTATATTTATTTAATATATCTAAATACTGTTTAAATAAATCGTTACTATTATTATACTATAACTAATAAATACTATATCATTATATATATAAAAGTCGTTACTATGTTTAAGTTTTGAAAATGATCAGAATTAATCGTTTTCATAAATTTTATAGTATTATTTTCAAAAGAACTGAGTTGGCATTTAAGGTTTCTAATTTTATTTTTCCAGTTTTTAAAAATATATACTTTTTCCAAAACCCCTAATATTTTTGTCCACTTATTCTCATATTCATTCTTATTTTTTGAATAAGTTTTATTCAAATTCTCATTTGTACCAATATTTTCATTATCTTTTTCATTTTCTATTACAATATTTGAATAACTTATTTCGTTATTATTTTGGGAGATGAAACTAGCAACAAATACATCGTTCTCATCAGAAGTATTTGAATTTGTCAATTCTTGGTCAAGTGTAACTTTGACAACTGTATCATCTTTGTTCGTGATGTCTACCTTTTGTACTGAAGAGTTAATCAAATATTTTGAAGTAGCCAGTTTTCTATATTCTGCAAATAAAATTTTGTACAAAAAATAAAAAAAAGACATAGGCGAAATGTTATACTTACTGTACCTTATCCAGGATGCTTTTATTTTGTTAGCATATCTTATACGATAATTCCTTCTATAAGATTCTAATTTAAGAAAAATAAATTCTGTTAAAAATATCATTTGCTTTCCAAAATGAACTTGTGTTTGTAGACTTTTTTTAGATGCAACTGATTCCAGAATCAGTCTACATTTGTCAAGATTGATCTTTTCTGTTAAATATTTTTATTTTATATTTTTCATTTATATCTCAATAAACAAATATCTGTACTACTTACCTGTAGGTTTTCTGAAATAACGATAATAAAAATCTTGATAACGCAAGCGGAAAGGATATTTACATTTAGCTAAAGGTAGGGCATCAAAAATGCCAATACATGCTAATTGTTTTTGAAAGTCTTTTCGGTCCCATTCATTGTTTATCGATCGACTGAAAAAATTAATTATTAAATACAACGATAGTATAAAAAAACAGTTGTAAAAAAAGTATATATTACTTTGGTTTAACACATCGTACGTAATGCAAGTCACATTTGCTAAGTTCCTTAATAAGTGTATCCATATTATATTTTAATTTAGCTAACATAGTCTTTTTTGTAGTAGATGCTTTTACGATATGTAAATACTGTTCCTCCCCAAAATTTATTAAGGAACGAAGAAATTTATTTTTACTTGCACTGAAAATTAAAGACATTTCATTTGGAACCTATAAAAAGTTTTAAAAATTATTAATAATGTTCATTCTAAATTGTAAAATGTATTTAATACCTTATCCGTATTTTTAGACATTAAATCGTCTATACAATATGCAACGGGCCTGGAATAATGTTCTATAACGAAGTTTTCTTCTTTTATGCTTAAAAATTTTCTCTGTCTATTGTGTAAATTTTTACAAGCTAATTGAATCATTGTTAATGTATCAATCGCTACTGGTGATTGACAAACCTATAACATAAAAATTACAATGTTATTGTAATAATAATTTTTATATACAATTAAATATGAATTTTGTACATACATCATTTAAAGTCAAAAATAAATTTTCTTCAATAATGTTTAGACGTTCTTTGTATAAATTGATAGTATGTAAAGGTACTACGCAACTTTCAATAAGACCTTCTTCTTGCAAATTATTACAGTTACTTTCTACATAAGTTTTTATAAAATATTGTTGTATTCTTTCATTAGCATAATTTACGCAAAGTTGTTCTATACCATTTTTAGTAAAACATTCAAAACCAAAGATATCCAATATGCCTAAAGAAAATATGTGTATATAATTGATTTGTTTAATTTCTAATGTAAAAATGTAGTATTATAACATACCAAGCCATTGTGAATACTGTTGTTTTAAAGATAAAGTTTTATTTGCATGATTTAAAATCCAGTGGAAAAGAAGATCATACATATGTCTAATGATACTATGTAATCTGTTGCGACATGCATCAATGGTAACAAGGTGTCGATGATATGATGTATGTTTTCGCCAAATACTTTGTGGATTTATAAGAATAGTAGTAAGCAATTCCATAATAGTTTCTTCAGTTAAAGAACTAAGATCACAAGTATTTTTCACGGCTTCCTTTGATTCTGTAAATGTGATTGCATAAAATTCCTCATTTCTATGTTATGTATATAAAATAATTTACACAACATACTATTATTATTAAAATCAATTACACATATTTCATCATCTTCTCTAAATTTAATATTTCCCATATGAATCAATAAAGCAAGAACTTGAAAAATGTCACTTTTCTGATGAAGTTTGAAATCCAATGCATTCAGTGCTTCTAGAGTATCTTGGAAACTTTCTTGAAAATACTTTTTTTTATTATAATCCGTGATGTTTAATATATCATAATATTTATCTTTAGATAAATAAAAACTTTCAAGTTCTGCCGATGACATTCCAAATATCATCTGAAATATATTTTTCTTATACAGATATATTTAGCTACATAGAAATAAATAAATAAAAAATATAAATCAAACCTGATAAAAAATTTGAAAATTGTTTGCACCTCTTGTTACTCTACTTCTTTCCAAAAGAAACGAATTAATAGTTGCACCAGAAATAATTCCACCTTTATAATGAAGCTTTATAAGTTGCCCATGTCTTGAACTTACTTCATTCTTTTCAGTACAGGCAGTTGTAAAAGTAGATATTAAATGACAAGCATCTGTAATTCTTAGCATAATATTGAATGCACAATCCCCTTGAGATAATTGTACTGATTTTTTATTGATGTTACTAAGAAAGTCTAGACACTTATAAGCATTAAATGTTTTTCCTGTTCCAGTTTCTCCACTTATAATAATTACCTTAACACATGATGTACAGATAAGTTTAAACAAAAATTAATTTATTAATTTTTTAATGAATTTTCTACCTGAGAAGTTCGTCCAATTTCGTTTATAAGATTATAATGTGCCTTAGCGGCAATAGCAAATATGTGAGGACTTGCTTCAGATGTATTAACATGTTTATCAAATTCTGAAGAATTATACAAATCAAATGTTGATACTTCATTATTAGGATTTAATGTCAGGAGTAGTGAACCAACCCATGTATAAATTTGACTCCGTTGTAATCTTTGCAAAAGAAAATCTATAACTGAGAAACATTATTTTTAAAATATTTTCTGTCATATTATTATTGCTTAATATTTAAATCTTATAGCAAACATATACATACTGACATCTTTATCTTCTGGTAAAGCACTTAAATCATTAATGAAATCCCATCCGACTGGGGAAATTGACTGCTACAAGATACATATATTTAATATATAAGTACAAATAATATAAATATTTTAATTTATGACAAACCTCTATTGCAGTTCGCATAACGTTTTGTACAACTGTCAATGGTAATAAGAATAATGATACAAATGAAACAATGTTGTCCAGACCAAATATTTACATGCTCAAGGTCAACAAAATTAACATCTCTTTCTGTCCACATTTTTCAAAATTACAAGTTTTGTGCGTAATAACGTAATTTATATTACAAAACAATGAAGTAAAGCATATTAAATGTTTTTACATTATTAATATAAACAAGTGAATTTGCGTATGAATCTCTTTATTCAAATACATTAAAAAATTATGTTACAAATAATCTGTTTTAAATGTAACTTCAAAATCATTTTCCTTAGAAAGAATTTATGTTTAATTGATTAAGGACACTTTTCTCCCATTGCTTGTAGAAATTTTCTGTTGTCTTCAATAAGTTTTTCTAAACGTTCTTTTGTAGCTGACGTTTGCTTCTGCGTAAGTTTACGTGTTGCAGATTCGATTGCTACTCGATAACCAGTAATATTTTGGAAAACTTTTATATGTCTATCTCCAGCGACTAAAATATATTCTCCCATAGCATCAAAAGTTAGGCACGTAATAGGTCCTATAACATGAATATTATATGAATATAAAAATACAGAAGTTATAATGAATTACACAATAAAATAAAAAAAAACCTAGAAAAATATCTTCTATAGTCGCATCCAACAAGCCAGTAATTGTAGAATAAAAACTTAATGAAGATCCATGAGCTATCGCTAATACTTCTGTATTAGGAGATAGCGCAATATTAGCCGTTGTTGTGTTTTCCCATGGTCCAGTTTGAAGTAAATGAGGATCTTCTCCTTTTTCAAATTCAACTATTAACATAAATCGAAAAATGTAACAAAAATCAGGGACAAGGGTAATTTTCGAAAAAAATAATTTGGTTTATTACTTTTTGTGTCGTATAAACGATAAGTTCCATCTTTCGATACAGTAGCCATACAACTACTATCAGCACTAAAAGTAAAATCAAGTATTCCAGATGAGTGACCACCAAGATCAAAAGCTTTTGCTACTTGTTTAAATTCTCCTGATTTACTAAATATTACTTCCCATATGTTTGCGTCTGGAGTAAATCCTAAATAATAAAATATCGTTAATATACAGTATAAATTTTAAATAATGAATATTATAAAAAATTACCGGATGTGCCGATAAAACGTCCACAGGGTGATATTCGTGCTCGGTAGGTTGATCCAAGATGCAATTCTATAATTGCAAGCACTTGTCCTTTAAGATCCCATACTATAAGATCATTTAGTTTACTGCATGTAATAATATATTTTCCTGTAGATGCAATATCCATGCCAACAACATCTTCGGTATGCCGCTGAAACATTAATAACAAAAAAATATGAAACTTATGTATAAAAAGCAATATCACAGAAAAAAAAGTAGATACCTTTGAAAATTCTAAAGCTTTAATTGCTGAAGCTAAAGTACCGTCTGGTTTCTTGGAGATTTTATAAACTTCGATAGTATTTGCTACAGCTTTATGTATGAGGAAAGCTTTTCCATCAGGAGACCAACGTACTAAAGTTGCATGATCAAATTCTATATTAACACGTAGAGATCTCTTTTCTTTTACTGTCAATTCTTTCGTGTACCATAACAGAACAGTTCTATCTGAAAAATCACAAATTACAGTTTTACAATTTATTTTAATCGAAAGACATAAAATATTATCCTGAAAGGAAAGGATTAGAACAGGTTAAGCAAGAAAACACGTTTAATTTATTATAAAGTTTCTGTATTGAGCGAACAATTTAAAATTCTTACAATTTTACAGCAAATGAAATAAATTTCATGGAGTCCAATAGGATAGATACAAGTTTTAAGTTTTGTAAATCAATCAAAATCTCACAATAAACCTACTTATCTTCTATATCTTAGACTTAATTAAATACATTAGTTATTTTAAATTACATAATATGTTATCTTAAATTACATAATTAGTTATCTTAAATTACATAATAAGCTACGAACAATCAATTCAAACGTCTTTTACGTGGTGGTGGCATAAGATCAGAATCATCTTGCAAAAATCGATGCCTATTAATATAATCTAAGAGACGATCAGTGGTTATGGGTTTTATAATACTTTTGCATACAGATTGAGCTGTATTGTATGAATTAGGAAATGATTTATCAGTTCTTTCACGCATGAACACCCACTGACCATTCTCAAATTTACATTCAATTATTGCATTATTTAATTCTTTTATTTGTTTAGTCACTTTCATTTTATCAAAGGGCTCTTTCATACCGCCTACATACAGATATCCAACTTTTTTTGGAAGAATTCCCTCTCCAGATTCTGTGATTATCTTTAATCTAAAATCAACAGAATTCTGCGATAAGGGTTTCCATTTTAAAACGTCTGATGAAGGTCCTGGGCAATAAGGTTCTTTAGCAGGTTGAAATATTAAACCATCAGGTTCATGACCCAGTTGTTTAGCAAATTTATCACTCAATAAATTAGCTGCTTGTGTTATATCCCAAAATTGTTTTAATCGAACTGAAAAAGGTTCGATTTCTTTTCTCAATTTTCCTTCTTTCATTGCTCTATGTCTGCCAGCTACAATTTTCTGCTCAATGATACAAAAACGATCAGGATAGAATGGTAATTTGCTAACATCTTTACCATCATACATCACTACATCATAAACTAAGTATCTTGGATATTCTTTACCATCTGCCTTATCAATTACCATTTCCTATAAAATTATTTCTATCAATAATTAATTCAATAATTAAAAAATTTACAAATCTTGTAGAAAAGATATGAACTTACACCATCCAACAGTGTATCTCTGAGAGTTCTAGATATGTCTCTTGGATGTGGGAAAGTCATTCCATTAACTTGAAATACGCTATTATCTCTATCTACAAAATAAATTTCCCCATCTGCTTGAATCATCATCATATACCTAAGCAAATAAAGTCAATATATTGTAAAGCTGTCTTCAATATTTTACCATTTTTAACATTTTAAATATATTGCTGTCTAACCTGGTCCCATCAGCTTTCCATGAAACTCTATAAGGTTTCTCGTGTAACAGCCTAATATTATCTTCATCCATAGAAATTGGTTGGGAACCTGGAAATCCATTTGATTTCCAAGAACAAATATCTTGAACACACCTCTGTATACCGCCTAATTTTCTATCCTCCAAAACAGGAGTTACTCCGGGTATACCAGCCATAAACACTGGATTCTTGTTGTTAAATTCACGCTTTCTCTTCTTATTAGGTACATCTTGATTATAATTATCACTGTCTGTACTAGTTCCTTCATCCGTATCTTCTAAATTCGAGTCATCATATTCCAAACACCAAGCTGGTCTAGGTGCAGGATCAGGCGCATCCTCTACATCGTCATATCTTCGGAAGAGTTCTTGAATATAGTCAGCTTTATATATGCCTGGTGGCCTTGCAGCGGCGAATTCTACTAAACCGGCATCAACACTAGTTCCATCAGTTTCTACTAAATAACTAATTATAAGGAAGCCAGTTCTATTGAAACCATGTGTGCAATGAACACCGATAACCTCCAACGGGTTGTATGATATAAAATTCTTACAAACTCGTATAAAAGTTCTGGTCTGTTCCTCAGACGGGGTTTCACCATGACCTCTGCATGGCAACTTCAAATACTTGCAACCATAAGCTTCTAAGTTTTTCTTGTCGTAGAATCTCGTGGTGTTGGTTAAGTCAATCCATAGGCCTAGCTTTATTTTCTGGCTCTTCAACGATGCGAATAACATGTCCACTGTGAAACGGCATTCTTCTGGCACTTGGCTGTCAAATGCAGATGACAAAGGAGTTTTGAATGCCAGAAATTTATTCTGAATCAATTTCACTGCTTTCCGTGGACAATGAAGCCACCGTGGTGGAATTGGCCCTTTACTTTCGTTTCTGCTTGACATTATTATAATTTCTAGTTTCTCAATTAATTTCTATAAACACACAACACAAAAAAGCATGAAAAATACAATGCTATAACCTATAATGCTTCAAGCACATTCGTTTCGTTTATTTCATTGTATATATGCGATGAAGTTAATTTCTCCGAATTTATTATTTATACCATTCACTTCACGAAATGAATATCTGATATAAATATATAAATTCTGCTTTGACGTACACACAGTGTTTGCTATAAGCGAACAGCTGTTACTAGCGTCTAACGTCTGGACGCCATTACAGGCTTTTGCGATTCGACTTTCAGTAGACTTCTCGATAAGTCGATGACGTGCATCGATGTTCGATAGAATCGACCTGACTGTCTGAAATTTAAATTCAAAACTTTGAATGTTTCGATTTGAGATTTGAGGTTTAAATTTGAAAATTTGCATTTTTATGTATAAACTTGATGCTAAACTTTCAATATTCTGCGTAATCAATACTTTTCTCGAATTGACACTGTTATAAAACGTACGCATTGATGCTTTTTAATCACGAGATCATTAATGATTTATTAAAAGTAACAATATTCTCTTATTTTCGAATTCTTTCGCCTAAAATATAAGAGTAGAGATGAAAAGCAAGGTTAGCTCATTAAACATATGCTTGTAAAGAAAGAATAATTTGATATTTCATATATCAGTGACGATAATCTAAGCAATAGTATCCAATATCAAATACAAAAATTTAATTGTTTATTACTACTTAATTAACAACTTAATGAGAAACTTTCGAGATCATTAAAAAATATATTAATCAGTATTGTAACAATATTGTAAATGTATATTGAATTCAATGTAATGTAATTCTATTATGCTGGATCTACAGTTACCTAACAAGAACGTCTAGTAGTCAATCCTTTTTTTGCCGTCAAATATAATCTTTTTTCTTTAAGAAACATTTCTATATTAATAAATATTTTTTGAAACATTCTCGATAATTTTATAGTTCTAAAACACAGTATATACATAAGTATTTCATAGAAAGATCATAGGATACATGGATTTCTGAAATGGTATATATATATATATAAACATTATTGTCCGTATATGCGTATCGATTGCAAATCAACACAATGTGAAACACGAGTATCGTTTTTTCGAAGAAACTGAAATATAATTGCCGTAGATTGTACAAATGGAAAAACAGAGCCCTGGTCTCGAGTATCTCGGAGAAAGCGTGACCGGGGTGTGCAGAGAATAGCACACTGCAATAAAGCGCTACCCGCTACGTTAATATACGAGCAGCTAAATATAAGTCGTTCCCTCGTGGTTCACCCACGGCCGCGCGTTCGATTTCGATTTGCGCGTAAATTTTTATCAGCTCAGCGTAACCTTTCTCAACATTGTCTCGTCACGAATTATCGACGAGCTTCCGCAACTCTTTGCATTTTCGACTTTTAAGTCGCGACTCGCAATTTATCGTTAAATTAGACATTTCACTTCCCGGAGTACGTAGCTGTACTTGAGATAACATGTTTTCAAACGATCAAGATATTGTTCAATGAAGTTGGACGATTAACACGTTGGAATTGTGTCAGTGGTGAAACGTGAACTTTTGTGTCAATGATCTCAAACATCTCAATTACAGCTTCTGGACGCAGATCGAGGGGGCTGACGTCGATCCGTCGACGATAAACACAGTTTTCAATAACGTGTTGCAACATTCTGTTGATTTTATCTTAAAGCAGCGTGGATATTTTTATAGAATATGTGTCTACAGTTCGTCCGAGAATGAAGCTACGTATGCAAATTTCGTGAAGTAACGATAAGAGAACAATGTCATCGCGAACGTAGGTAACATGAATGATTTATTAAAAAATTATAATAAAAACACAAATTGATAGCGGGTCGATTTTTCGTTCAAATATGAAGGGGATGATAAGTCGTCTTTGTTAGTTTTGCTGAATTTTATGTCATTTTGGTAGCTGGATAGAAGTAGATTGATATGAAGAAGAAGTTGATAAGAAGGGAATAATCTAATCAATTTGAAGATATAAGAAATAGACCATGAATCGTCTTATAAAGAAACGAATAATATTAATGTTAATTTATTTTTACATTTAACTTTACAATTAATGTTATTAAGGTATGTTTCAAACATTTCGGAGAACGATAGAAATATATATTTAATCTCTCGGTAAAATGCCGAATTTTAAAATACGAAAAACAAGAAATGTGATTAATCATGTTTTTTACGTACGTGTTATTAAACAAGTACGTATTACTCTCGGTAATGGATAGGTCGAGGAAGACTACTTTTTTTGACCCTCAAGATCGTCAGATGTTATGCCATCGGATGGGAGATTAAAGAAAAAGTTTACGCAACTGGAGAGTTAGTACATGTTGGGAATTAATGTGCAAGTTCTTAACGTGTCTCTATAGAGACAAAAAAATGCAATGGTTAAGAGACAAAAAATATAATAGTTGAAGAAAAACTTAAGCTGATTTAATACAGCAGATACTCTTTAATATAGCAAGTTAGGAATTGATGTAACGTCGAATCCAACATTTCGCAATCGACAAACAAACGACGGGCCACGTTCCCGTCTTCCGTTTGATTTCTCAATCGACAATGGCCAAACCTACCTTCAGAATATTTAATGTCGTCGTTTCTAATGAGCCTACGATGAAACAATGATTTTATTCCTCTTCGTTCGTCACTGTGACTGAACCAAGCACAAGAAGACTTTTCATCGACGACGATCGCAAGGACTTAAAAATTTCTCAAAGTAGGGCACCTCTCGTAATTGCCTCAGTCAATAGCAAGAGATTAAACATGCAAATGCTTTTTTTCAAGTTTCGCTAATACGACGAATGAAAAGTGTCTTTCAATCTGGCAAAGATCAAAGAATAATTATGTTCTATTCACATGGAATTTTACTCTGTCCTTCGTTGAAATCACCTTTGGACATTTTCACACACATCTTATATTATATCGCTCGAAAATATCCAGCCATTCTCTCTCATCTATAATTATATTTTTCTCAAACGTACTTCCGTTATCGAAATATTAAAGTGTTACTATGAATTGATATTTTACGAGTAGTAATGTTAAAAAAATTCACTTCGAGGTGAAGACTCAATATTGTAAAATTTAATCGTCGCTTTCACCAATAGAGAAAAAGAAGTAAACTTAAAACGTAATTTACGCTAAATAAATTAGCTACTTATGCTCGTCACGCTTGATTTCATTTTTTCTTTTCTTTTTACTTTTCTCTTGTAGAAAATTTTTAAAAAAGTCGATAAAATTAACGATGACAAACGCGATCAGTACAACGCAATCAAAAAAGGAAAACGTCCAACAGGCTAACGAAATTATTCAGCTAATGAAAAATAATAAGTTTCAAAGAACGACTACATTACGACTATGTTATGATACTCATGGAAATGTAAGTATCGTTTTCGATTAATAACGATGAAATAAATTTAACAATTTAATTAAACGAAACAAGTACCGATATCAACATTATAACAGAAATACTTTACTAGTCCGCAGGATATCACCAGTGATAGTAATTACTCGAAAACCGCTATCTAGACGATTAAAGTTTATCGTTCTGTTATTTGTCTATCCTATTTCCTTCATAAAACTCCTCATTTTCATAAAACTTTCGTACCGCCACTAAACTAAAAGCAATTATAATTATAATTTTCGTCTTTTCTTTCTGATACCGCACAGCTGGTAAATACAATAAAAATTCCAACTATTTCCCGATATTAGTACAATTTTATATTACACTCTTCCTAAAAACGTAACAGGAGAATTGTGAAAACTGATTCAGAAAACACGCGGATTAGACGTGAATTTTATTGGAACTTTCTTATCGTGCAACGATATCGAAACAGAGAGGAGCAGAGAGAGAGAGAGAGAGAGAGAGAGAGAGAGGAGAGCCACGCATTTCCAAGGCAGCGTGTCGCGAGCAACGAAGGTGGAGAAAGTTCCTTCGTCCTCCCTTGCGTCTCCACGTCTTCGCGGAGTACCGCTTCAAACGTAGGAAACGCTTCCTCGAGGGTCCCGGTTCGGCTACCCACGCGCCTTATCCGAAGGAGAAAGAAAGTCGTTGCGCCGCACGAAACTTGGAGATTTTCTCTCCGAGTAACCTGCTCCTATCTCCGCCGACATGCCCTGATTAAAGCAGCATCCTCTCTTTTTCCTCCGTGATTCGTGGAGCTCGTTCAATCGTCGCCACGTTCTTGCACCGAGCGGAGACACCTAATTGTTCATTTTCTTTTCACGCCTTTAGACTAGAATTTCGCGTTTACGGATGAGTCACGAATGAATAACGAGTTGACTCATCGTTGGAAATTTATTCCCTCGGATGAATCGACTCGTTCTAGAATTTCAAAGATCTCCCAACTTTCCAATTTTGGGACGAGGTTCTCACGTCATTACCGGTGTCGCTTCGAATCCGTATCGAACACTCGATTCAAAAGATTTGTTCTTGGGATTTTTTTTGAAAATTTTCGCCTTGGACTTTTCTTTTTAAAGGTGATACGGAATGCAGCAACCGGTCAGCCAGTGGCCCCAAATTCTATATATCGTTTCGTAGAATTAGATTCAGAATAATCGATCTGGTCCACAACAGTCGTATTCACGGTTTCACGGTCAACTGATTAATTTTGTTATTAAAAAGGCTCGTCTATCCATTTCTCGAAAATAAAGGAAACGAAAGTGTCT